CTTTGGGGCATGAGGCACAGATAAAGGGATAGCCAAGACATTTGCTCAACCATTTGTGTGTCTTGGGTCAGTGAAGTAAATGTGAGCAACTGCCATTTGGAACCAGAGTAGCTTAGCCACTGGGTAGGGTTAATCTCAGATAATCTCAGACCCACTCTGAAACTCTCCCTAAGAGTTAGTCACTGAATGCTCAGGAGAGTCTCCCTTTAATATCAAGCTATGCAGAGCAAGTCATGTTTTGGATGGCAATGGCTGCTAACTATTCTAGAATGGTCTGGATGTCTCCTTCTCTGAGAGTCAGAAGGAGGTGGCTGAAGTTGTATCTTACAGTCAGGTGAGTGGCTTGACTAGGGGTAGAGACAAGACGATTGTGCAGGAGTTGGGATTCATATTTTTCCTTCCAGTTCTAAGAAATATTCCTGGTAAGCTAATATTTGGCCTATCCCAGCTGGTGATAAGCTATTGACACCCTCCCCTCCCCACTTTCCAGCAGGGCCTCTGGGTCAATTCGCCAAAAGCCAATTCACCAAATTTGACAGATTTGCCAATTCTATGAATATATTCATGAAACATATTTTTCTTGAATATATTCTTATGAATATGCTCATTGCTGGATATACCAAATTTACTGATTCTCATTTTGAATACATTTACTGAATATAGTCAAGATGAATATAGTTTCAAATGTAAACATTCTTATGAATATATTCACGAATATATTATTCTTATGACTTTATCTAAAATGTCTGCATTGCAATGGGAGTTTTCCCATTTATACTGATTTCCTTTGAACTCTTGTCTATTTCTGTTTTGCCAACATTTTAGCATTTTTAGGAGGATTCTTTTGCAAATTTCTCAAATAGCATATCAACTTTAGAAAAACTATCCTAACCAATATGAATTGCCAAAAACTTTTAAAAACTACATATAAAAGTAAACTTTTTATTCAAATATGCATATAGAAAGGTACATAAATCACAAGCGTCCTACTTGATGAATTATCATAAACTGAACTCACCTGTGAAATCAACACCCAAGTCAAGAACTGGAATGTTGCCAGCCCTAAACAGCCCTTCCTCATGTCCTCTCTCAAACATTACCCCCTGCAACCATTGCTCTGTCCACCTTCTTTAAAGGTTTTGTCTGTCTTGAACTTTATATAAACAGTATACTATAGTATGGATAATTTTATCTTGGTTCCTTTTGTTCAGCATTATGCTTGTAAGTTACCCTATTGTTACATGTAGCGGTGAGTTATTCATTTTCAGTGCTGCATTTTTTTCCATTGTATGAATACCATAATTTATTTAACCAATCTGTTCATAATTTAAGAAAAAAAATGACTAGAAACCACTCTAATACCCATCAAGAGTAATGCTGTTATTAGGTCATAGAATATGTACCGACAACACTTATCATTCATTTTTATGGCTTATTTTTTTTTTCAACTTAAACTTATACTTTTATTTTGTTGCTAATTTCATGATGTGTATATAAAGTATAGTTGACACACAATGTTATATCAGTTTCAGATGTACAGTATAGAGATTGGACAAGTCTGATATTATGCTATGTCCATCACAAGTATAGCTACACTATATAAGGCTATTATAATAGCATTGACCATATTCCCCATGCTGTACATTTTATCTCCATGATTTATTTATTCCATTACTGGAAGCCTGTATCTGTCACTTCCCTTCTTTCATTTTACCCATTCCCTCACCTCTCTCCCTTCTGGCAACCATCAGTTTGTTCTCTGTATCTATGAGTCTGTGTCTGGTTCTTGTTCATTCATTTTGTTTTTTATTTTTTATTTTTTAAGTCTTTTTTTTAATTTAAATTCAATGAGCTAACATATAGTACATCATCAGTTTTTGATATAATGTTCAATCATTCATTAGTTGCATATAACACCCAGTGCCCATCACATCATGTGCCCTCCTTAATGCCCATCACCCAGTTATCTCATCCCCCCACCTACCTCCCTTTCTGCAACCCCCAGTCATTTTGTTTTTTAGATTCCACATATAAGTAAAATCATATGGTGTTTGTCTTTCTCTGTCTGACTTATTTTACTTTAGCATTATACTCTCTAGATCCATCCATGTTGTCACAAATGGTTAAGATCGCATGCATTTTTATGGATGAATAATATTCCATTGTGTGTATCTTCTTTCTTTCTTGGTGTACTGAAAAATTTCCCCCAGCTTTATTGAGCTATGATTGACAAAAATTATATATATATATTTAAGGTGTACAAGTGTATATACTTAAGATTCACAATTATATATATTTAAGGCAGTGGCTTTTTATTTTTTTAATTCCAGTATAATTAACATACAGTGTTATATTCAGTTTTAGGTGTACACTATAGGGATTCAACAATTCTATACATTACTTGGTACTCATCACAATAAGTGTACTCTTAATCCCCTTCACCTGTTTCACCCATCCCCCCCCAACCTCCCCTCTGGAAACTACCAGTTTGTTCTTTATATTTATGAGTCTGTTTTCTAGTTTGTCTCTTTTTTTCTTTGTTAGTATGGTACTGGCACAGAAATAGATCCAGATCAATGGAACAGAATAGAGAGCCCACAATTATATGGTCAATTAATCTACAAGGGGGGCAAGAATATACAATGAGAAAAAAGTCTCTTCAACAAATGGTGCTGGAAAAACTAGACAGCTACATGCAAAAGAGTGAAACTGGACAACTTTCTTACATCATACACAAAAATAAACTCAAAATGGATTAAAGACCTAAATGTGAGACCTGAAACCATAAAAGTCCTAGAAGGAAACATAGACAGTAATGTCCTTTACATCAGCCTTAAGCAACATTTTTCTAGCTATGTCTCCTTTGGCAGGGGGAACAGCAAAAATAGACTATTGGGACTATACCAAAATAAAAAGCTTTTGCACAACTATATCTTCTTTATCCATTCATCTATTAGTAGACACTTAGGTTGCTTCTATATCTTATCTATTGTAAATAATGCTGCAGTACACATAGGGGTATAGATGTCTTTTTGAATTACTGTTTACATTTTCTTTGGGTAAATACTCAGTGGAATTACTGGATTATGTAGTATTTCTATTTTTAATTTTTGAGGAACCTCCATACTGTTTTCCACAGTGGCTATACCAATTTACATTCCCACCAACAGCGCACAAGAGTTCCTTTTTCTCCACATTCTCGACAACAGTTAATATTATCTTTTTGATTTTAGCCATTCTGACATGTGTAAGTGATATCTCATTGTGGTTTTGATTTGCATTTCCTTCATGATCAGTGATGTTGAGCAGATGTGTCTGTTGACCATCTATATGTCTTCTTTGGAGAAATGTCTATTCAGGTCTTCTGCCCATTTTTAAATTGGATTGTTTTTTGTTTTTTTAAAAGATTTTATTTATTTGACAGAGAGAGACACAGAGAGAGAGGGAACACAAGCAGGGGGAGCAGGAGAGGGAGAAGCAGGCTTCCTGCAGAGCAGGGAGCCCGATGCGGGGCTTGATCCCAGGACCCTGGAATCATGACCTGAGCCGAAGGCAGACGCTTAACGACTGAGCCACCCAGGTGCCCCGAAATTGGATTGTTTTTTGATGTTGAGTTATATAAGTTCTTTATATATTTTGGATATTAACCCCTTATCAGATATAATTTGCTAATTTCTCCCATTTAGTAGGTTGCCTTGTTCTGTCGATGGTTTCTTTTGCTGTGCAAAAGATTTTTATTTTGGTGTAGTCCCAATAGTTTATTTTTGCCTTTTTCCCCTGCCTAAGGAGACATATCTAAGAAAATGTTGCTAAGGTCAAAGTCAAAGAGATTACTGCCCATGTTTTCTTCTAGTTTTGTGGTTTCACAAAATGTGGTATCACATTTAGGTCTTCAATCCATTTTGAGTTTATTTTTGTGTATGGTTTAAGAAAGTGGTCCAGTTTTGCTAGCACCATTTGTAATCTTTTCCCCATTGTAAATTCTTGCCTCCTTTGTCATAGATTGACCATATAATTGTGGGTTTATTTCTGGGCTCTCTATACTATTCTATTGACCTATGTGTCTATTTTTGTGCCAGTATCATACTGTTTTGATTACTACAGCTTTGTAGGATATCTTGAAATCTGCAGTTGTGATCCTTCCATCTATGTTCTTCTTTCTCAAGATTGTTTTGGCTACTTGGAGTCTTTTGTGGTTCCATACAAATTTTAGGGTTTTTTGTTCTAGTTCAGTGAAAAATGCGATTGGTACTTTGATAGGGATTGCACTGAATCTGTAGATTGTTTTGGGTATTATGGACATTTTAATAATATTAATTCTTCCAATCCACAAGTGTGGAATATCTTTCCATTTGTTTTATTTTCTATTTCTTTCATCAGTGTTTTATAGTTTTCAGAGTACAGGTCTTTTACCTCATTAGTTTATTCCCAGGTCTTTTTGGTACAATTGTAAATGGAATTATTTTCTTAATTTCTCTTTGGCTTCACCATTAGTGTATAGAAATGCAACCAATTTCTATGTATTAATTTTGAATCCTGCTACTTTACTGAATTCATTTATTCTAATAGATTTTTAGTAGAGTCTTTAGGGTTTTCTCTGTATAGTATCATGTCATCTACAAGTAGTGATAGTTTAACTTCTTCCTTATCAATTTGGATACCTCTTATTTCTTGTCTGATTGCTGTGGCTAGGACTTCCACTACTATGTTAAATAAAAGTGGTGAGAGTAGACATCTTTGTCTTATTCCTGATATTAAAGGAAAAGCTTTGTTTTTTACCATAGAATATGATGATAGTTATAGGTTTTTCATATATGATCATTATCATGTTGAGGCATGTTCCCTCTAAAACTACTTTGTTGAAAGTTTTTCTCATGAACAGATGTTGAATTTTTTCAAATGCTTTTTCTGCATCTACTGAAATGAACATATGGTTTTTATCCTTTATCTTGTTGATGTGATGTATCATGTTGATTTATAAATATTGAACCATCCTTGCATCCCTGGAATGAAACCCACTTGCTCGTGAATGGGTTTTTTTTTTTAATGTATTGTTGAATGCAGTTTGCTAATATTTTGTTGAGGATTTTTACATCTATGTTCATCAGGGATATTGACCTGTAGGTTTTGTTTGTTTGTTTGTTTGTTTGTTTTGTAGTGTCTTGTCTCCTTTTCATATCAGGGTAGTGGTGTCTTCATAGAATGTATTTGAAAGATTTCCTCCCTCTACTATTTTTTGAAAGAGCTTGAGAATAGGTATTAACCCTTCTTTAAATGGTTAGTAGAATTTACCTGTGAATCAGTCTGCTTCTGGACTTTTGTTTATTGGGGAGTTTTTGGATTACTTATTCAATTTTGTTACTAGTAATTGGTCTGTTCAGATTTTCTATTTCCTTCTAATTCAATTTTGGAAGATTATATGTTCTTAGGGTTCTGTCCATTTCTTTTAGGTTCAATTTCATAGTACTCTCATAATCCTTGGTATTTCTGTGGTGTCAGTTGTCACTTCTTTCATTTCTGATTTTAGTCATTTGTATCCTTTTTTCTTGATGAATAGGACTAAAGGCTTATCACTTCCGCCTGTCTTTTCAAAAAACCAGCTCTTGGTTTCATTGATCTTTTCCATTTTTTTTAAAAGGCTCTATTTCATTTATTTCTGCTCTTTTATTTCCTTCCTTCTATTCACCTTGGACTTTTTTTTTTTCTAGTTCTTTTAGGTATAAGGTTAGATTGAGATCTCTTTTATTTCAAGTAGACCTGTACTGCTATAAATTTCCCTTTTTGAACTGCTTTTGCTGAGTCCCAAAGATTTTGGATAATTGTGGTTTCATTTTCATTGTCTCCATGTATTTTTTGATTTCCTGTCATTTCTTATTGACCCATTGGCTGTTTAGTACATGTTGTTAGCTTCCATGTGTTTGTGTTTTTCCAGTTTTTTCTTGTGATTGATTTCTAGTTTCATACTATTGTGTTCAGAAAAGATGCATGATATAATTTCTATCTTGAATTTATTAAGACTGTTTTGTGGCCTAACATGTGATCTATCCTGGAAAATGTTCTATGTGCACTTGTAAAGTGTATTTTGTCATTTGGGGATGGAATGTTCTGTGTATACCTAAGTCCATCTGGTCTGATGTGTCACTGAGCAACACTATTTCCTTATTGATTTTTCTGCCTGGATTATCTATCCATTGATGTAAATGGGATGTTAAAGTCCCTGCTATTATTGTATTATTGCCAGTTTCTCCCTTTATGTCTGTTAATATTTGCTTTATGTATTTAGGTGCTCCAATGTTGGGTGCATAGATATTTACAATTGTTATATCCTCTTGTTGGATTGACCCCTTTATCATTATGTAATGCCCTTCTTTGTCTCTTATTGCAATCTTTGGTTTAAAATCATTTTGTGTAAGTATTGCTACCCTGGCTTTTTTTTCCTTCCATTTCATGGAATATCTTTTTTCTATCCTTTTACTTTTAGTCTGTATGTCTTTATGTCTGAATTGAATCTCTTATAGGCAGCATGTAGAGGAATTTTTTTTAATCCATCATGCCACTCTAGAACATTTAGACCATTTGCATTTAAAGTAATTATCAAAAGTTATATACTATTGTCATTTTGTTATGTTTTCTGGTTGTTTTTGTAGTTCTTCTCTGTTCCTTTCTTCTTCTCTTGCTCTCTTTCCTTGTGATTAGTGACTTCCTTTAGTGTTAATCTTGGTTTTATTTTTTTGTGTATCTATTACAGATTTTGCATTTGTGGCTACCATGAGGTTCATATATAACATTCTAAGTATATAGTAGTCTATATTAAGTTGATGGTCACTTAAGTTTGAACACATTCTAAAATAACTTTTTTACTCCCCCCCCTCCACATTTTATGTATATGGTGTCATATTTTACATCTTTATATATATGCGTTTTTTTTTGTTGTTGTTTTGTTTTTTTACTTCTAGTTATGGCCTTTTCTTTTCCACTTAAAGAAGTCCCTTTAATATTTCTTGTAAGGATGGTTTACTGGTAGTGAACACCTTTAATTTTTGTTTGCCTGGGAAACTCTTTTCTCTCTCCTTCGATCCTGAATGATAATCTTGTTGGGTAAAGTATTCTTGGTTATAGATTTTTCCCTTTAAGCTCTTTGAATATATCCTGCCACTCCCTTCTGGCCTGCAAAGTTGCTGCTGAAAAATCAGCTGACAGTCTTATGGGGGTTTCCCTTGTATGTAACTTTCCTTCTGTCTTGCTGTTTTTAAAATTCTCTATCTTTAATCTTTGATATTTTAGTTATTGCATGTCATAGTATAGACCTCCTTGGGTTCATATTATTTGGAACTCTCTGTGCTTCCTGAACCTAGATGTCTGTTTCCTTCCCCAGGTTAAGAAAGTTTCAGCTATTATTTCTTCAAGTAAGTTTTCTGCCCCCTTTTCTCTTTTTCTGGGACCCCTATAATGTGAATGTTTATTCACTTGATGTTGTCCAAGAGATCACTTAACTTGTCCTCATTTAAAACCCTTTTCTTTTTGCTGTTCAGCTTGGTTGTTTTCTATTACCCTGTCTTCTAGATTGCTGATCTCTTCTTCTTCATCTGCTAATCTGTTGATTCCCTCTAGTATATTTTTCATTTATGTTCTTTAACTCAACTTTTTTTTTCATATCTTCTCTTTGTTAAACTCTTTATCAGGCATATTGCTTATCTCCATTTCATTTTGTTCTTTTTTTGAGGTTTTGTTTTGTTTGGAGCATATTCTTCTATCTCCCCATTTTGCTTGACTTTCAGTCTTTATTTCTATGAATAGGCAGAACAGCTACTTCTCTAAAATTTGAAGGAATGGTCTTGTGTATGGTCATCCCCTGTGTAGGCTATGTGTGTCTGTGTGTCTGGTGACTTTGGCTGGCTGGAGCTGTGGCTGGTGTGGGCTGGAGTCACCCTGGTGGGATGGCTGCAGGCCAGGGTGGTCATGGGGCTCTCTGCACAGAGAGTGTCCTGGAAGGACAGCTGAGGCTGAGGTGGGTACAAGCTGGGAGGTCCTGGGGATCTCCACATTACAGCTTTTTTTTTTTTTTTTTACAATTATTTACTTTTAACTGTTTTTGAAGATTTCTGCAAACTTTTGGTTAGATGGTTCTCATTTTAGACCCATAGCAACATCTTATGGAATGTTCAATTTGGCATAAGCTGAAAATCATGGGATGGTTTGGTATTCCTATCACCACTCTTAATAATCGAAAAGCATATTCCATAACTAGTAGCCAAAATTTCAGTGAAGGATTTGTATCCCAATTTTGTGCATCTGCCATAAGTGCATAATACCTGAAGATGGGCTAGAGCATCCAAACTGGAATGAAATACTGAAGTTTCAGTTACTGTTAACCTTAGTTTGTATTTCTAGCAAATGTATCATTTAAGGCATTGGGGAGAAATTGTTAAAATGCCTAAAAGTTGGGAAAAAAACTTAAATGACATTCAACAAGATTTCAAGTAAACTATTAAATCAAAGATACCATCAACTACAAGGCATACCATTATATTATAGAACAAAAATATGGGAATATTATATTGGTGACATGTTATAATTTGACAGGTATTTTCTTTCAAAAAAAAATAAGACAGCATTTCAAAAGAGGCAGAAACAGTCCCATAATATGTAAAATGCTGAAATTTAAAATTTTAATCACTAAGTTTAAAAAAGTAAAAGTATTATATTCTTGTGTATATCCATAGAAAGAATTATTAATAACCTTTGGATATATGCAAGAAAAGATATTCTTTAAATATATTAAGAAGAATTGGCACATTCTGAGAATGGGCTATTTGTTGAATTGGCTTTCGGCAAATTTACCTGCTTCCCTTGGAAGTGGGCAGGTACAGAGTAAATCAATCTGTTGAGGTGTGGGTATCGTCTCTGCCCCTCTGAGAGTTGAAGACTGGACTTCGTGGTGGCATCATCCTGGCATTCAAGGGGACCAGCTGCCCTGGCCCAGTCTCTGCAGGGCTCTGATCTGCCCCTCCTCTCCTAGCTATCCTGCTGGCCTCCCGGGAGCTGATCCGCAGCAAGCGTTTAAGGCAGATGCTTGAGGTCATCCTGGCCATTGGCAACTTCATGAACAAAGGGCAGCGTGGGGGTGCCTATGGGTTCCGGGTGGCCAGCCTCAACAAGATTGCAGATACCAAGTCCAGCATTGACAGGTGGGATCTTGTCTGCTTCCTTATCTTCCATCTCACCCCACCCTGGCCTCTCCCTTCCTCCTCCCATTTCCAACCCTAACTCCTTGCCTTTTCCCCCTGACCCCTCCCCCTAGTTTCTTCCTGGCCTTCATTCCTTTACCCCTGACCTTTCATCCACAGAAACATCTCTCTGCTCCATTACCTGATCATGATCCTGGAGAAGCACTTCCCTGACATCCTAAACATGCCCTCAGAGCTACAGCATCTTCCAGAAGCTGCCAAAGTCAAGTGAGGGGCCCTTCCAAGTCTTCTTTCTCCCTGTGATCACAGCACTCTTGTCTAAATTTCCTTTCATTGCTACTGTGGGATGACTAGGAATGGGCAGTGTCTCAGGGTCTGCTTTTAGGAGAACCAAATGAAGACTGGCTACTTGCTCTCAAATCCTTATTTCAGACATGCTCCTAGGAAACACAGTGGGGAAGTGAACCAGGGGTGGGAAGAATACTAATAACGGAAGTATTATTAAGCCAGCTACCCCTGGGACATCCCTCCAGGGAAGTCTGTGAGACCGCTTAGGACACTTATTCAACTTATCCCATCTGAGAGGTGAGGGAGCTAGGATATCATACCCCATCTCCTGTCAGTCATGGGCTGAGTGTCTCTGGGCAGGGCATGACTCTGGACATAGGTACAGGCAGAGGGAGCTCTGGGATCCAGAGAAAGTGCTCGCATCATTGGAAGTCAGGATTGTACACTACAATGGATGGTCCAAGGAGATATGGATGTGGCACAAATGATATCCGCTACAGGCAAGAAGTCAGACCCCAACAGCCATAGGCTGATAGAAGCATCTCCAACAGAAGCAGAAATGCAGTGGAAAATGGTTAATATGCAACAAGTGCTTAGTGCATGTTAGAGTTTTAAGTATTACCTGCTGGTATCAAAAAGAATTAAAAGAGTTTTAAGTATTACCTGCTGGTATCAAAAAGAATTCAAGTCAGAAGCCATGTGTTAGAAACCTAATATTCAACGTAACATTTCTAATCTGGAAGGATCTTCAGAATATAAGTTTTACCCCTGTTATTTTATAGAAGCACAGACAGAGCACAGAGGGGAGGTGATTTAGCAGGGCTGGAGCATGGGTCTACTGACTCCAAAGTCATTGCGCTTGGCACTGCCATCTGCCTGAACCACCCTCAGCAATTCTCCCTTCCTGTGTGTCTTCCCACAGCCTGGCAGAGCTGGAGAAGGAGGTGGGCAACCTCAGGAGGGGCCTCAGAGCAGTTGAGGTGGTGAGTACATCATCTATGCCTGCCTGGGTTTGAGGGGGTGCTGCCTGTGTCTGTGCTGAAGGCCATACCCTGTGCCAGTTATTCTAGCACCCCAGACAGGAACTTTGGGACACAGAAATGCATCAGACAGGGTCTGCCATCTGGAGGCCTACTATCTGGGGGTCTGTCATTTGACCAAGTGATAGGCAGCAACAGAGCTAGCCCATAGGAAAGGATGACTGGATTATTTAGGGCTTAAATTTAGACTCTCAATGAGCGGACATCTGAGACGAGCGAGGTTACTGTCCAGCATGTGTATTGGGCACTAGAGGAGAATGAACCATAAATTGGCCCCATGCTTAAGTCTAATTCAAGTGGATAGGAAAGAGTAGCTACATCTCTTGGAAGCCAATTAGGCACAGGTAGCACATAGTGTGTGACACTGGGCACAGCTATCCCCAGAAATTCCTGCCTTATGTCTCTTCTCCCTGGGTCAGTAGAGGATCTGGGGGCTGCACCCAGGTGTCTAGTCATCACCATTCCTGCTCTGATGGCTTCTCAGATGATATGGTCTCTGGCCCTAGGCTAGCCTAGTCCCATATGGCAATGGCCCCAATCCTTTGTCATCCACCTTTAGGAACTCGAGACCCTTCCCATCTTCACTGGGGGAAGGGGGTGGTAGGCAGGTAAGGGGAGAATGAGTTAGAGAATGAAGGTAAATATGAGGAAGAACTTTCCATTGCCACTGTGGTGGTGGAGGGGGCAATTTCCAATTTATAGCCCTTTAAAGTGCTACTCAAAGCATGGCCCATGACCAGCAGCATCCGTATCAGCTAGGAGATTTAGAAATGCATCTCACACTTGATTCTGCACATGCATCACCTATAGGTCTTGTTGAAATGCAGATTCCCTAGGTCTGCGCTAGAGCCTGAGTGTCTGTATTTCTTCAGATGTCCCAGGTGATGCTGTTGCTGGTCCCAGACCACACTGGGAGGCAAGCATCTGGAGAAAGAAAGATGGCAGTGGTGCATGAGGGATGTCTCACACAATTCTGAGGGTGGCAAAGATTGTGAGAGCTTAGGCAGGGAAGGGTGGGAGATGTGATGACCCTCAGAATTCCTGACTTTTATGCTGGCACCCATCTAACCAGCATATCACTCTCCCTCCTCAGGAGCTGGAATATCAGAAGCGCCAGGCACGTGAACCGAATGACAAGTTTGTCCCAGTCATGAGTGACTTCATCACTGTCTCCAGCTTTAGCTTCTCAGAGCTGGAAGACCAACTGAATGAGGCCAGGGACAAGGTAAGTGTGGCCCAAGCTCCCAGTCTGACCCCCATCCTAACCTCTCCCCCCTCAACTTTTTACGTAGACACAGCTCCTTCACCCATTCCTACCCCAGATGGCCCAGAGGGACAAACCCAGAGTCACAGAGCTTTGAGGAAAAATAATTTCCTCACTCCCTTAAGAAAAGCAATAGCAAATCTGTTGCAAAGATCATAAGCCATTCACCAGGTGTAGGTACCATGTGGTATTTTACATTATTTACCGCATGACCTACCTTAAATAACCTTAAAAGGTTATTACCCCATTGTACAAGTATGTACACTGAGATATAGAGAGGTTAAGAAACTTGCCCAAGGTTTCCCAGATGTGATGGACAGAGCTGGGTTAGAATCCTGACTCCAGAGCTCAGCTTTGGTCACAGTTGCTGTTGCCTCTTCCTGGCTTTCCAACATCCTCATGGACCCCATTGGTAGGGGTCCTCATTCAGGAGGTCTGGGGTAAGCCTGAGATGCCCACGCTGGTCCAGGCACACTCTGGGTTGAATTAGAGATGGTAGCTGTCAATAAATGTCAGAACAGTGCCTGACACACACAATTAGAGCTAATGTTTTACATCTATTAACTCACCTCACCCTCACAACACTATGAGGTAGAAGCTATTGTCCCCATTTTACAGCTGAGGAAACTGAGGCACAGAGGAGTTAAATTAGCCCAATAACTATATGATCGCTGGGTCCTCTTGAGTTTGTGACCTTAGGAAGTACTTCCCAAGGTCTGCAACTCCTGATCCCATACCTACACCATAACAGACCCAATGGTAGCTTTGGGCAGCCTCTGTCAGCCAGCTTGAATTCCCAACCTCCCCTTGGTGTCACCCTCAAGCTTTTCCTTCAGCCTTGTCCCTGCCCTGATGATAGCAGGTGTCTCCCCCTCTCCAGCCCTGCTCCCCTCTGTCAAAGGTCCCCGGCCTTGGACTGGGCTCTGTGCTGACTGGAACCCAACTCACCACATGGGCTGAGCCACCATGCTTTGGGGCGGGGGCAGACTCTCACCACCCCTTTCCCCCTAACAGTTCTCCAAGGCCCTGATGCACTTTGGGGAGCAGGACAGCAAGATGCAACCAGACGAATTCTTTGGAATCTTTGACACCTTCCTGCAGGCCTTCTTGGAGGCCCGGCAGGACCTGGAGGCCATGAGGAAGAGGAAAGAAGAGGAGGAACGGCGGGCACGCATGGAAACCATGGTGAGAGGGCTGGGCTGAGTGGGGTGCTACTGGGGGAGAGCAGGAGGCAGCAGGGAGATACAGGGTATCTCAGCAAGCAGGAAAGTGGGGCCAGCTGGTCAACACAGGCCTCAGGGTGCACAGGTTGGAGTTTGTGCCTGCTGGGAGGCCATTCGTTTGACAGCTGGACTGTGGGTGGCTGCTCTGGCCTCAGCCCACCTCTCACTCTTCCTCCTCCTGCAGCTGAAGGAGCAGAGGGAGCGGGAGCGGTGGCAGCGGCAGCGGAAGGCCCACGCGGGCAGCGCGCTGGAGGAAGGCGGCGAGTTCGACGACCTGGTGTCAGCGCTGCGCTCGGGTGAAGTGTTTGACAAGGACTTAAGCAAGCTGAAGCGCAGCCGCAAGCGGTCGGGGAGCCAGGCCTTGGAAGTCACCCGGGAGCGGGCAATAAGCAGGCTAAATTATTGACCTGGGGACTGGCCACAGCAGGAGGCAGGAGACGGGGGTGGGCTGAGGGGCTGAGCGGAGGTGGCCGTGATCCTTAGACAATTTGGTGCTCAGTTGCAACGGGCCCTGGGCTGGGCCCTGGGGTGGGGGCAGTGCGTGGCAGGACCAGGGGTCCCCGCACTTACCTGGAAGGGCTCCTCACATCTCCTGTTCCGTTATTCTTTCTGCATCCAAGGCGGACTTAGACATCCCTGGCAGGCCCTGCTGAAGGAGCCCTGCCCCCCGCCACCCCACCCCCACCCCAGCAAGGGCACGTACGTGTTGGCACACAACTGTTCCAGATCTGGATTGGACAGGTCCACGGGCCTTGTCTGGATTCATGTGCAGTAGGGAGTTCATGGTGGGGTGGGCCCCCTGAGAACCAGGGTGAGAGAATGCAGGCCCCCATCCCTCAAGAGGAGGCTTAATGGAACATGGATCTGGGGGCAAACTTTCCTCTTGGATGGAAAAGGAAGAGGCATTAGATAGTCTAGCTAGATAGGTTTCAAAAAAGTGCTGGGAAGACGATACAGGGACCAAGTCACCAGGACACAGAGTAGCAGTGCCTGTTTCCTACATCACAAGTCCTTTGGCCCCTCTTTCGCATGTCTTAAGTCTCTCCCTTCCTTCCCTACCGCCATCTCCCTCCTATCTACTAATCCTGAATCTCAGAACGCTCACCTTTGGGTTCCCACAACTATGGCTCATGAGCAGGTACTTGATGAATCTGGTAAGGGGTTCAAGAAAGACCCCGATCATCACCATACCTCGTGCCTTGGGCCTAGGGACCCTGGAACAAAGCTCTCCTCACACATCCTCTGTACAACCCAACCAGTCTTGAAGCGAGACAGTGACCACACCTGTTGGCTGGGAATTCTGATAGCCCCTCACTAGAGGGCAGCACTTGAATGCCTAGCTCCACTCTGGTGCTCCCTGATCTACCACTTCCTGTTCATCAGACCCCAAACTCTTTCTCTAAGGTCTGTCTCAGGGCAGAAGCCACGGGGACCTCCCCCTCTGTCCAGCCTGCGGAAGGCCGCTTCAAACCACGTGGACCTGGCTAAGGCTGGCCCTGGGGTGTCCTGAGATGGTCCGAAGGGCCAGAGCTGCCCTCTGCATTTACATGTGATCGCTGAGGCATTCAAACTGGGGGCCAGAGCAGGCAGGGGAAGCTAGGGAGATGGGATATGGAGGAGAGGCAGTTTCCCGGGGGGTGCACTGCCTGAAGGAACCAAGGGCAGAAGGCTGGGTACCAGAGATGGGATGGGGGCTGGGACCCACCTCTCAATTCAGTTCTTCAGTCGGACTTCCCAGGGGTCTATTCTGGTCCTCCCATCCACTCCCACCTTCCATTCTGTCCATCTTGAGCTGTCCTTGGTTGGGGGTGGGGTGGGGAACAATGGCTGTGTCTAAACAAAACTTCTATCTTCTGAAAGAAGGAAAGGTCAACTCCATCAAGGTTTGTCTTTTCAATCCATTTCTTTGCCCTAGAGTTGACCTATTATCCTTAGAGTCTGGCCTGCCTGACTCTCCATCAACCAGCTCCTTGCCATTCTATCTCCCCGGCCCTTCTGTTTCTCACCTTCCAACCTACTCCTCCAGCTCAGGGTTATTGCCAGTGGCCACACTGGTGGACTAGGCCCACTCCTCAGCTGCTTATCATCTTTTCCCTACATCAGACTCCTAGGGTAGGGCCAGAGTAGCTGCAGGGGCAGCAGGGCGGGGGGCATAGTGTTGGTGAGCCCAGCATGTGTTGGTTTGAGGCGGGGAGGGATGTGAGCAAATGCAAGCCTGGCCAGGCTAGAGGGGAAGAGGCCAGGCTAGAGGGGAAGAGGCCATCCTGGAGTCCAGGTGAATGCAAGATGAAGGCTTTGAGGAAGAACAGCTGCAGAGGGCTCTGTTATACCCATCTGTCTACCCAGCAGCGCGCCCCCCACCCCCCACCAGAAGCTGGCATTGGGATGATGGGAAGGTCATGGGTGGGGTCTCTGAAGGTCCTCTCCCAAACTGGCTGGGCTGAGGTCAACCTCCCCTGCAGGGGACAGGGGCGGGCTCTGCTTCTATCACCAGCATGTTCAAACTGTGGCATTCCCACTCGCCATGGAAGACTGGATACGTACCAGGAAAGACAAGGAATATAGAAGTCGTTCAAGACATTCTGGATCCACAGAAAAGCACACTTTGGTTTACCTGTTTACAGAGGACACATACCTTGTTCCAGGGCTCAGGCTTCTCACCCTGAAAGATTTTTTTCCTTCTCTATTTATTATTTTCTATCTCTGGCCAGTAGAATAGCCAGATCTACAACAGTGCCTTGGACCATGCACCATCACAGTTGCCTCAGCAAGGGGCTGGGGCCCCGTGGAGATGGTGGAGGAGTTGGTCCTGGATATGCTAAATGTTTACGCCTATTTGTTCCTTAGTCTTTCCTCAGTGTCCTTCTCACCCCTCCTGCTCCCTTCAGGTAAATTCCTCCAGCTGTCTAATTTTGTGTCCAATGTAAAATTCAGTTAACCTAATCCAACCTGTCCCCTTCTCAGCAGCAGCACCCACACCTCCTTCCCGGTGAGGGAAGACAGGTGTGTTTGGGGCAGCAGGAGGAAAAACAATTCTCCAGGTCGAGACGGAAGGGTCTGGTCCAGGCTCTCCCCACCCCCATCCCATCTTTACCAACTGGGGTGCCATTTTCCTCCAGCCTTTACCAGGGATGCCTCCATGCCCTGGCTGCTTTCACCAAGCTGTCTCAGACGACAAGTGAGGCTAATGTACAAAATCTGCAGCGTCCTTTTTACCTGCACCATTTTTATAAGAATATATTGTAATACTAAAAAAATATTAAATCCATACCATCCCCATCCAGCCTGCCTTGAAACCTGTGCTTTCTTCCCGTGTGGGGACGTGAGGTGTGCTCGGGAGCAGTCACGGGGGCAGGGGGGGAGGGTTAGAGCCAGCTCATGTCTACTCTGAGAACACCAGTCGTTTACATTTTCAAAAGTTTTGCCAGCCGGTTCACATTGTACGGGTAGTGTGAAATCGGCCACGGAATTTGGCCTTTTCTTTCCCCAAGAGCTGGTTGTCAAACATTCGCCAGCACCCGTGGGTGTAGGGCAGAGGGAAGCAGGCAGGCAGGGGGTGCCACTGAGGATAGACTCGAAGATGCCTACCCACAGAGGCGAACCCAGCCAACCAGTCCAGTGTCTGGGGATGTGCAGACCAGGAACCTCTAAGTAAGTGCACCCCCTTGAACTTTGGACACCCCCACTGGACACTTCCTGCAGGCGGTGCATCTCTAGGCCTCCCACTTCACTCCTACCTTCTCCCAAGGGAAGACGGGGGATCTACAGAGCATGTGCCCCTTTGGCTTTTATAGCACCCTTACTGCTCCTCTTTCCCGGGGGGGGGGGCGGGGGGGAGGGCAGGGGCATGACTTCATGGCAGCTCAGTGCCCTCCGCACAGAGAGTCCGCATTCTTGCATCTCCAAAGCTGACACCGTGGCTTTATTTTGTGCACCTTGAGGGTGAAGGCCATCTTCAGCTCTCTTCTTTCCCGGGTATGTCCCAGAATAAAGGGGTGTGGGCAGTGGGTGGAACAGCAGTGCGCAGGGCCAGGCGTGGGGTGTGTGCCTGGGGCAGGAGTCCTCAGGGCTGCTGCCTGTTGTATATCCCGTTCAAGCAGAAGGGGCTGGGAAAGGGAGCTGCTAGCCGGACGAGTGCAATGGTGAAGCCAAGACCCTGCAAGTTCAAGGGGGCCTAGATGCAGGCAAAATGAGGCAGGAACTGGCCCCTTCAGAGGGTTGGTAGGGGTGCAGCTCCCCAAACTCGGGAAGGCAAAACTGCTTTAGAGAAGTAGTAGAACATTCTTAATGCAAACCATGCCCTTCCCTCCTCAAAGTGGGTTCCCTCTGCTTCATGAGCCCTATGCTCCCCCCACGGAAGGAGAAGAGGAAACCCAAAATGAGGAGTGGAAGTTATAGATCGGGCTGTCTGAAACTGCATGGGTTCTCTGGGGGCTATTTCAGGCAATGTGATTTCTCGGCTCTCCAGCGCTGCTCGCGGCGACCCCCGCCCCGCCCCCACGACCGGAGTGTCCAGGAAGGCTGACAGGAGACCGTGCAGCTCACTAGAGATGGTGTAGCGGTAAAGGGGTGGGCTGATCTCGGGCTCCTGCTGGTGGAGGTAAACAGGGACAGGGTTACAGGAACTTGCCGGAACTGCATCCCACCTTGACCTGGCTGGGCCGGGGGATGAGGGGCAAGAACTCTAAGTCCGCTGGAAGTCCCCCCGCTGACCCCCGGTCTTGCTCAGGAGCTTGATCTCCCCCAACACGATGTCTCTGCTGACAGCCTTGCACATGTCGTACACAGTGAGGGCAGCCACGGCAGCAGCGGTCAGGGCTTCCATCTCCACCCCGGTGGGGCCCCGAGCCCGGCAGGACACCCGGATCCCCACCGCATGGCGTGTGCCGTCCAGCTCCAGCCCTACCTGCACGTGGCTCAGGGCCACGTGGTGGCACAGAGGAATCAGCTGGCTGGTCAGCTTGGCCGCCTGGACTCCGGCCAGCTGGGCCACCGCCAGGGCATCACCCTTCTTGAGCTGGTTCTCCTGGATGAGCTTGAAGGCCATGGGCCCCAGGAGGACCACGGCTGAGGCCACAGCCACCCGCTCCGTGTCTGGCTTCCCGCCCACATCTACCATAGCTGCCCGTCCTGCTGTGTCCACATGGGTTAGTTGGTCCGAGGTTGGCAGGGGTCCTGAGGGGGTGCCAGGAGCCCGGGACACTGCACTAAGGCACTTTGGGTTGGCATCTGAGTTGAGGTGGGAACTGCAGTGTCTTTGAGGGCAGACGGACCCCAGCAGCCGCTGGGCAAGGAGAGGGGCCTGGGGGACCCAGCCTCCTTTCCACAAAATCATCATCTGGTTGGAGAAACTCCCTCTGTGTCTTAAACCCTGAACACGAAAGGGGTCCTGGGAGGAAATGCTTGGAGTGGCTGGTGGGGAATCTTGGAGCATCAAAAGTAACTCTGGAAAGCAAGAAGGAAAGAGAAGAAAGGCTAAGCCCCAAAGGGAAGTGTTTTCCCCCACCTCTTCTCCCACCTTTTCCCTGCCCACCTCGAGTTCTTGCTTCCACCCTGGGGAGAGAGGGATGAAGAGCAAAGAGCACAGTGAGAAGAGAGAAAGCGGGAGGTATGCAGACAGAGGGTCCCAGAATACAGGTCTGCAGCCCCTCACGGCAGGCGCTGCGCAGGGCACAGCCCCACCAGTATCTCTGGGCCCGCGGGAGTGGAGGGGGGCACCCCTGCGCTCTCCTCCACACCAACTTCCTTGTCGCCGAAGTTCCCTTCAGAAACACCTAAGGTCCAAAGACTGCAGCCCAATCACATGACCTTTCCCTGTCCCTGCCTTTTTCTGGAAGCTACAGTGAGGTCTCAGCCTGAACTACCACCCACAGTTACTCTCTCCTCTTCACATTCTCTATGAAGAGTTAACAGTAATTATCGAATTTACAGAGAAGATAGTAAGGGAAATATTGTGTCTATTTCAACAATGTCTCTGAAGCCCCCTCAAGGACATCAGAAGTACCCACGAGTGACAGGCTGATCCAAATGGTGCCAAGGGCCTTGGGAGCCTTGCAGGCTCTTGTTACCCAAAGGGTGGTCTGTTGCAGAGCCCCAGTCCCAAACCCGACTCTGAAATGACAAGACCCCCAAGCGATTCATGTGCACATGAAAGTCGGAGACCCTGTTCTAGGCAACTCCTGGTTTTACAGAAACCAGACCAGCTTGTTACTCTGTGTCCTTGAGAGGAATAATATACCTTATGAAGCAGATAGGTCTCCCAATATCCAGCTTCCCAGCTCTGGGCCCCCCCCGGCCAATGTCAGAGGTACAACCTCACTCCCAGGGTGGCCACAAAGGCATGCCCCACTCCTTGCCGTCAAGGTGTGTCAGCATGGGTCGAGGCCCATCCGTAGGACTATGATGCTGGAAGTGAGGGAAGAAGAGAGATGGTCAAGTTTTCTTCCCAAGGGAGGGCTTCGGTGAGCTGCCTTACCCTCTTTGGGAAGCTGGTATGGGAGGTAGTCCTTGGGCTGTCTCTGGCCCACACCAGCCTGCCTTCCTCTGGGCCCCTGCACTCACTTGGTTCCAACCCCTGGAGAAGTGAATCCCTTCCCCTAGTTTTTCTCACTGCTTTCTCTTGCCTGCTGATACAATTCAGAAGCCCAGATCTGGCTGTGGCCAAGGCCTCCCCTGCTCTCGTCTGGGCATTTTGGCAGACGGGTAGCAGCATCTGTAAAGCTCCTGATGGGCCAGCCAGTTCCCCAGAGAACACATGGGACTTTATGCATATAAGGTCCCAGGAGTTAAGGAACTAGGCAGTTGAGATCCTGGCTGCCTCCTCCCTGAAAAGGTCAGGAATATTCTTAGCTGGCTGCCCCAAGCTCTGCCCAGCTCCTGTAATGGTATCTAGGCTGGGAGTTTCCAGAGCCCAGGACGGGGTCTCTGTCTTAACCAGGAGTTCCATGTTCGGGGCACAACCACCTTAGTGATCATAAACCTGGAGGGCACCCTGCCTCAATTTCTAGTAAGAGAAAAGGATGACTTCTGTGGTACGTAGACTGAGGGGGAGCAATCCCCAGGGAAGAGAAGACACAGGAAAGCTGGAGGGTTGAGAGAAGATGGAAGAGGAGCAGAAGAAACACAAGGATGTGAACATCAGGATGAAATGCAGGATCTGGGAGGTGCCTTAGGGCAGGAGCCCCACCCCCCGGGATCCCCCAGGGACAGGGGTGAGTGGTTACGTACTGATGGGTCACCCACCGATGAGGATCATGGGCCGGTTCTTCATCTGGGCAATACTGAACATGCCTGGGGTAAGGGAAAGATGGGGAGGGAGAGGAAAGCAGGAAAGGGGGACGGGAGGGGTGGGGAAAGGAGAGTTCACTGAAACCATGGTGGACACAGTGGTATGACAACCCGGGGACATGCACTCACCTAGGCGCACCCTGACAAAAAGCCCCCGCTGCACACTGCAAAGTCACCCATGACAGAGCCAGAATGGGTGCCCTTGGGGGACACAGTGGGTGCCCGGGACCCCACCCTCCTGACAGAAGGCAAGGTGTGGGATGAGACAGGTGCAGTGCCCCTCCCCCCACCTCCCCTTCCCCTCTACCCGATAAAACAGCCCAAGAGAATTCAGGGCTCCCTCTCCTGCACAGGTTCTGCTGTGCCCATGCCCCCGAGGGAGGAGAACCATCACCACACCCCTGGTCTATAAGTGCCACAGGACGGACTGGGCACCACGACGGGCACAGAGTCCCACTGGCTTCCTGCCCATCTTTGCTCTGTCCCCTCAGCCCCTCCGGCCCACTCGGCAGCCAGCCAGCCCGGCCTTCCCCATGCCCACCCCTTACCTGCATGCTGCCGCTTCTTCCTGCCCACAGCGGCCCCGATGATCCTCAGCAGCTCCTCCTCGGAGGCCCCTGCCCGCAGGTGATCCCGTAGAGACACCTCGGAGTTCCCGAAGAGGCAGACCTGTGGGCGGTCACCATGGGGGTGAGAACATGCCTCCCTTGGCCCGGAGCCTTGGGCCCCCTGCCTAGAGTCCCCCGTGGGCTGGGCGCCAGCATCCAGGCCTCCTGTGGCTGGGTCACACTCAAGGCAGGACTTCCTGCAGTGAGGGACAGAAGGTGCCGGATGGTGAAGTTAGAGAGGCCAGAGGGGCAGGAAGCAAAATCAGACATCCCACAGCCTACATCTGATTTACAGTCAGGTTACCTTCAGCTTATAGAGCATACCATAAAAAATTACACAGTTGCCAACAGAGACAGCACATAAAAATCCAGATCCATACCTTCTCCTGAGATGTTCCACAGAGTAGCCTACTGCCTTGAGAACGGACCCCAATCAGCTGAGTCCCAGCAGTCCCCCCAGATGCAGCACCCCCCAGAAACATCCCATTTCACCCGTCCCCTCCTGGCCCCTACACTCACAGACATTACCCGCCTGCCCCTGCACCCACTCCAGTTTGTGACCTGGACTGATGACTGACTGGCACAGGCCTGGTGGAGCTGGCATCTTGAGGCCATTCAAACTCGCCACGCCCCACCTTCTGAGGGAGGCTGGCTGCTCTGGGGGCTCCGTGCTGGAGGAGCCAGTCCCAGCAAGTGAGATACCGACCCTTCTCCCACAGAACTTTATAAAGCGCCTACTATGTGCCAGCTCTATAGAAGGCACTGTGGACACAGATGACAGAGGGACGAATGTGGCGCCTCTGAGGGCGGAGCGCACTAGAGAAGCTACAGACAGAATCTAAGTGGAAGGTACACCTGCTTCACCCTGCTGGCTAGTCCCCATCCCTCACTCCCCCACCAGGCCCCAGGGTCCACCCTCTGCACCCAGGGGCTCCACCTTCTGAGATCCCCTCCAGCGGGCTTCTGCCTCAGTTGGCTGCTGGGAGATTGGAGAGTGAGAGGAGAGAAAGATCGGGCATTGCTGCCCTGCTTCTTCCAGGCTCTGCCTTCTCAGGTGGTTACTGCTCCCCTCCACAGCTGCAGCTCCAACCAGGCGGCCACCCTGCCAGGCTACAGCTCTCCATGGGCCCTGGGGACGCCGCTTCCTCCCCTCCCCCTCCCTCTCCCCCAGGTGCCTCGACATCCCTTCCAAGTCCCCTCCATCCCACACTATAGATAGCCTCTCTTCAGAGCCCCACCTTCCATGTCCTGAAGGAGCCCTGACTAGACAGATGCCACCCATATTTTAGGGCAATTCCACATCTCCGGCCCAGAAAAAAAGCCCTGGCTTTTGAACAAGTGCTGGATGGTCCCTTCTGGATGTCCAACTCCATGCGTCTGATCTCTGATCTCCCTCCTCCCCCATGCTAAACAGCTCCCAAAGCCGACCGGCCCCCCCGGACGCCTTCTCAGTCCGCCCCCCGCCGCCCCCCCTCATGCCTTACCAGCTCCTTCATTCCTCCTTCCTGTCCTCGCCTCCCACTCTTGCCTACACAGAACACTGTTAAAGGGCCATCTGACTAGTCTTCCTGTTTCCAAATTCAACCAGTGGGTTATTCCTCCTCAGACACGAATGGGAGTCATGTCCTCCCTTGTCCAGAAACTGCACAGCACCCTACTGTCCACAGAACACACACTGTCCATTTCACCTGGGGATATCTGGCATTAATCTGCCCCAGCCACATTAGCACGAACTCCAGACAAGTGTCCTCCCTCGCCCTCCTTCTCCACTCTTCAAGGTCACCAGTGTCCAGGATGCACTCCCTCAAAGCTCACCACCCTCACAGCCTGTCTGGCCACTCATCTGACACCGAATTATGCACTGCCACACATCAGCTCTTTATTGGGTCTTATCAATGAGACTGCCTCTAAAGGGAACGAGTAGGTCTACGCCTCTTGGACATTCTCCACAGGGCTGAAGGCACGGTATGTGCTGACCAGGTATGAGTAATGGACGTTGGTTTCAGAGTGGAGCCCCTGGCCTGGAAAGGAGCCCATCGGGTGGGGGCTGCGGTCCAGGGCACATGGACCCTTCACCTCTTCCCTGCCCACCCTGGTAACATCGAGCCTGGCAAGTGGCTCCCAATCAACCGGAAGTTACTGTAGGGGCCCCGGGAAGGAAGGCCATGGGTTCACTTTCACCTTCTGTCCCCATGCTCCCCCCAAAACGGACCCTATTTCGCCAACCACACCATGTGCCCTGCTACCTGCTAGCCTCCCCTCCATCTGGGGGCACAGGTGGGGAAGAGAGATTGACAACACAGAAGTGGCAAGGGGGCCCTTGTGGGGAAAGGGACACTTACCTTGAGGTTCCCATCAGCCGTGATTCGCAGTCGGTTACAGGTTCCACAGAAATGCTCAGACATGGACGTGATGAAGCTGAGCTGGCCTCGGAAGCCAGGGATTTTAAAGGCCTGGGGTGAGCAGGGAAAGAAGGGCAGTGGAGGGGATGGTGCTGGATGGGCCACCAATGGCACCAGAGCCCCCACTCTTCAGCCCTCTCTGGAGGAGCCCCACGGAAGGGAGCACCCGCGGCCCCGAGCCAACAGAAGACTCTGACACAATGCATGACCTACGAGCTCTCTGCTTGCACCTGGCCTGCCGGACAGCAAACCTGCTACGGATTCGGAGGCCCACGGGCCACATGGCCAGAGCACCTGCCCACCGCTCACTGAAGTGTGGCCTAGGACAAGGTACTTACAGCCGCCCCATGCCCCATGCCCAGCCTGCTGCTCTGCCCACCAGGAGGCAGCTGTGAAGGCACGGTCATGCCTCCTGCTACACGGTACTGCCCTGCCTCGCTGCATTCCGACCTCAGTGCCCGCTCTTCCGCGCTCCTCCTCCCGACCCAGCCCCACTCTCCTGCCCGTAACCTTGGCTGTGCTGGATTCCTCCTCAGGCAGCTTCTCCAGCTCTGGCCACTGCTGCTGGAGGGTGTTCAGCATCTCCTTGTAGCTCACCATCTTCTTGAAGTTCCACCTGTTACCTGTCTCAGGATTGGAAGCCACTGAGTCACAGAGTTGCAAGGGCCTGGGGTCTTTAGGTCCATCCTCCCACAGAGCCCAGGAATCAGTTCTGCCCCTTGGACGGGAGGGCAGGAGGGCTGGCCTAACACAGGTGGGTCAAACCAGACCAATGCCTGACGTGGAGATGCCTCTGATGCCCCATCATAGCCCTAGCCCTGGCGCCTGCCCAGGCCTTTCCCCCATCATCCCTGGGGAAATTCCTACTTACACAGCAGGCCCCAGGGTCAGCAGCACCCACAGGGTCCATCAGACCTTGTCCACCCCACTCAACCCTCCCCAGGGTCCTCAGCATCCCCACACCACGCTCTCAGCCTGGCGCTGGACCAGTTCTGCCACCAGGCCCAACCTCCTCCTCCCTCCCCGCCCCAGGTCACTGACCGTTGAAGGGCATGTACTCTATGAAACGCACGTCCAGAGGGAGGCCCTCGGTCAAAGCGACGAAGTCCAGAAGCTCGTCCTCGTTCAGGCCTCGCATCACCACACAGTTCACCTGGCCGGGGACAAGGGGACCACAAGGGCTGTCCCCCCTGCACTCTTTTTCAGGAATGACCTTTGGGGGTCTGGCACCTGCCTAGGTTCTCCACTGGAGGGCCCATTCCGTGTCTCTCTCCCCCAGTTCTTAAGTTGGGGATTCCCAGGGGGTCACTGGTTTTCTCCCCTCCTTTGTAGGGTGTCAGGGGCACGCTGGATCCAGGGGGCAAGGAAGGGGGGGTACGGTATAGCTGGCTGCACCGGCCAGCACGGGGAGCTGCCATGGGCCCCGACGCCCGCAGCGGACGGCCTAGCCAGGCTAGAGGGGCAGAAGTCCGAGGTTCAAAGCAGCAGCAGGGGCTCACCTTCACAGGGCTGTAGCCCAGCTCGATGGCCTTGTGGATGCCCGCCATGACCTTGTGGAAGCCTGCGAGGAAGGAGGGAAGGGTCTGGAAACTTTCTCTTTCTCCCTCTCCCCTGCCCCCCTTACACCCAGAGGGAAGCACCAGAGCAGTAAGGAGCCTCAGAGACCCCCAAGTCCAGGGGCCAGATAGTAAATATTTTAGGTTTTGTAGGCTAAGAGGTGAAATTGAGGATATTATTAGGTATATCTTATAAAGACTGTATTGACTAATTACAGAATCGGATAATTGAGTACAATTTTTTATAACATAGCTCTACAAATGTAATGGAGGAATGGAATTCTTTTTGCTGGGATAATACTTTGCTTAACTGGGGGTTCATAGTTAATGTTCCCTATCATCAAGTTGATTATAAATATTATCTGTCAAATTCACTCTTGGCTCCCAGGCTATAAAATTAAAAAAAAAGCAGGGGGCTGGATTTAGCTGGCGGACTGTAATGTGCCAACCCTTATCTAGGTGACCCCTCTCATTGTCCAGATGGGGAAACTGAGGCCTGAGGAGAGGCAGTGCCCTGCTGGAGGCCTCACGCTGCGTGCCTCACCACGTCAAAAACTAATGATGTATTGTATGGTGACTAACATAACATAATAAAATAAAATTTAAAAAAAAACTATTAGTAGGTTAAAGTTTGTGGCAATTAATATTCTAACTGAAATGATAATCTAATGTACAAATTATATGAAAATCAGAAATTATTATTTCTACATTTTTAAAATACAAAAAAGATATGTTTCAAAACAAAAAAAAGAATGCAGGTTTCTAGACTCCTTTGTCAGTGCTTTTAAAGTCTGTCCATTCATGCACTCTGCCCGCTCGCACCGTGCACTTCCTAAGTGCAAGGTCTGTATCAGCACGAGTGAGCAGTTAGTATGCATGTGGTTCTCCCATCTCTGTGGTTAACCACAGTACCTGTGATCCCAGGTTGGCTTCTCCTCACCTCCACTCACTCTCGGCTCACTCGTGCGTCCAAACATTTGAGTGCCTCCTGCACACTGGCCCCTACCCCACCCTGCACAGCCTGATGATTGTGGTGATTCACAGCTGGGCCATCCCCCCGGGAGAGGGTGGCCAGATGATGGCCTCCATGGTTTCCCTGTAGCATTTTTAGATGGCCCGGTGAGGGAGGGAAAAGGGAGGAAAGTGTGGCTTTCACAGAAAATGTTGTTATGATAATCTAGAAGTTTCTTCCTTTGTAAAGCACTCTACCTCCAAAAGGAGGTGGTGGACACAGGAGTATAAACAGGAAGGCAGCAGATCTAACATCAGGATCTACTGTCTCCAATCCTCATTCTAGGAAACGAGACAAGGAGGCAGGGGAGATGTGGATGTCGGGTTGGGGGCTGAAACCCACAAATGCACTTTACACCTCAGAGCCCTTGCAGGTTTCCGACTGACGTTCCCCTTCAAAGTAAGCTCCCTTGATCCAACTCCTCTTCCCACTCCCCATTACTCAAGGCCCAAAGTAAATGCCTGCTCCATGGAGCCCTCCAGGTCTTCCGCGCTAGGAGTTCTCTCTCCTTCTCTGCAGCACTTTGATTGACATCACAAGACAAACAAAGGTGATCTAGTAGCATCACACATTTTGGCCTGTAAGGCAGAGCAATGTCCTGTGTGTCTCTGTCCCCTCCACAGCACCTGCAGCAGCTCTTTCCAGAGGGCAAGGACTCCATGAGCACGTCCTCAGCACGTGGGTGGTGTAAACAGGGAGTCACCGCATGGAGCAGGGGAAAGAGAAAGTGGGGCTGGGAGCTAGAAGCTGTTTCCAGAGAAGGGGAAGGATTGCTGAGAAGTCTCAGTTATGTACCACCCTCCCCAAATCAAAGGGCATCCAACCCCGGATACTTCCTACCCCAAACTGAAGCCCATGCCCCAAGAGACATCAGGTGCTGATCTAATGAGACCCAGGGCTCAGGGCTGCTCTACCTCCCCGACCTGTGCCCTCCGTGATGAAGCCTGGTGGGGGAGGCCGTGGCAGTGCTGGCCTTGACCCTGGCACCTCAAGGCAGCTGCTTCCACCCTGGGCTGCCCCACATTTCCTCAGAGCTCATTATAGGGTAATCAAGTTGTCCCATCTGCCAGGGACTGCCTTGGTTTTAAAATGGAAAGGCCTGCACACTAGCAACCCTCTCAGTCCCAGGCACACTGGGGGCAGGGCATAAGGAGACTGGTCATCACAGGTCTTAGCATCTGATCCCCCAGATTTCCCAAGCGTATGGGTATGGCTATAGAGACAGAAGACATCTGGTGAAGGTGAGGGGTGAGGAATAAATGCTCAGGTTTATCTGCAGCTCAGACACCAAAAGGGAGCAACCAGGCCCCTTGCCTTGGAGGGCCGCCCTCCACTGCAAACCACACTGGCTCACCTTTCCTGCGAACGATGAACTCAAATTTGGCTGGTACCAGTGTATCCAGGCTGATGTTGATGGCACTGAGACCAGCCTTCTGAAGCTGAGGGAGCAGCCGGGCTAGGTTGATGCCGTTGGTGGTGATGCCAATGGTCCTCAGTCCCTCCAGCTGGTGGAGCTGAGCTGTAGAGAGAGCAGAAGGGGGGAAGTCAGTCTGTTTATTCCCGGTGAGGCTGGGAGAAGGGCTGGAAGAAGAAACTCCAAGTCCAAATAAGATGGATGGAAAAGGGTTTCTCTGTGCTCTTCTATTAACTGGGTTTAGCTTAATAAAAACAGAAAAATAAAAACTCTGATAAAAATAACCAAAAGATTAAACACTGAGTGCCAAGGGCTTTGCGGGCCTTAGCTCACTGAAGCCTCACAACAAGGGTTATCCCCATTTACTAGATAAGGCAAGAGAGACTTGGAGAGATTAAGAAAATTGCTTAAAGTCACACAGCTAGTAAGAACGGCTGAGATTCAAATCCCTGTGTACTTGACTCCAAGACTATGCTCTCAGTTAATCAACTCATAGGTGCTCATACTCTGCATAGGAGAAACAAAGAAGTGTTTGGATTACTTGCTAAACCGCCTCCTCCATTATACCCCAAGTCCTTAGACATAACAGAAGGATGAAAAAAGAGTCCACAATAGCACTGGAAGGCAAGAAAGAATGCCTTCAATGGCCCAGACAAGTAGAGAAATCCTGAAAGACAGAAAGCAGATGGGCTCATGTGGATTGAGGAAACCACAGCCCAAAGCACATACAGAAGGTTCTGTACAAAGTAGGAGGGCGACTAGTGTACCCCAAACTTAACAGTCACCTACACAGGGAGTAGGAAGGACCCTGGGCATGTCAAGGAGATTACCAGTGTGGGGAACTGTGTTTGCCTGAGCTGGGTAAGTTGGTCTCCCTCCATCCTTATGTGCAGGGGGAAGGCTGCAGCTTTTACCCCAAGGCTAGAGTACTTAAGCTAGCTGAAAGGGGTGGGGGAAACCAGCATGAATAGAAACAGCACTGGCAGCCAGGCCAACAGAAGCCTTGAGCACTGAGATGAGTACATAGCCAAGAGTCAGCACCCATTTAAGGAGAATGTTGTAAAAGAAAGATAAATTCCACAAACAGAAGAATAAAAGAGGAAGGAAAAGTGAAAGAGATAACAGAAGAGGATTCTTTTAAAAAATCAGAGTTAGTGTCCATCATCCTAATTTATTGAACACTACACCTGAAATGAATGAGGTACTATTAGTTGGCTAATTGAATTAAAAAAAAAAAATCAAAGTTAGATGAACATAGATGCAAAATCCTCAACAAAATATTAGCAAACCATATTCATCAATATATTAAAAGGATCATACATCATGATCAAATGGAATTTACTCCAGGGATGCAAGAATGGTTCAACATTCACAAAATCAATGTGAATATGCCACATAAACAAAAGGAAGGATAAAAATCAGATGCCCAACTCATTAGATGCAGAAAAAACATCTGACAAAATCTGACACACTTTCATGACAAAAACTCTAAAAAAAAAAAAAAAAGTGGGTATAGAAGGAACATTCCTCAGCATAATAGAAGCCATATATGACAAGCCTACAAACTAATATCTTAGTCAATGGTGAAAAGCTGAAAGCTTTTCCTCTAAGATCAGGAACAAGACAAGGATATTTGCTCCTGCCACTTTTATTCAACATAGTATTGGAGGTCTTACCTAGACCTTAGGAGGAAAAAAAGAGATATAAGGCATCAAACTGGAAGGGAAAAAGTAAAGCTATCACTATTTGCAGATGACATATAGAGAAAACCCTAAAGAAGCCCACCAAAAAAACATTAAAACTAATAAATGAATTTAGTATAGTTACAGGATACAAAAATCAATATACAAAAATTTGTTGCATTTCTATATAGTAATAACAAATTATCATAAAGAGAAATAAAGAAAACAATCCCATTTATAACTGTATCCAAAGGAACAAAATACCTAGAAATTAATTTAACTAAGGAGGTGAAAGACCGCTACACTGAAAACTCTCAAGACATTAATGAAAGAAACTGAAGAAGACACAATAAGTGGAAAGATATTTTGTGCTCATGAACTGGAAGAATCAATATTATTAAAATGTTCATATTACCCAAAGCGATCTACAGATTCAATGCAACCTCCATCAAAATTCTGGCATTTTTCACAGAAATAGAACAATCCCAAAATATGTATAGAACCACAAAAGGCTCTAAATAGACAAAGGCATGTTGAGAAAAAAGAACAAAGTTGAAGACATCACACCCCCTGATTTCAAATTAAATTACAAAGCTATAGTAATCAAAACAGTATGGTATTGGATAAAAACAGACATACAGATTGATGGAACTGAATACAGAGCCCGTAAGTAAACCCATGCACACATAGCCAATTAATTTATGACAAAGGAGCCAAAAATATGCAATGGGGAAAGGAGAGTCTCTTCAACACATGGTGTTGGGAAAACTGGACAGCCACATGCAGAAGGAAACTGTTACCACTACCTTACACCATGTGCAAAAATTAACTCAAAATGGATTAAAGACTTGATCTGAAACTATAAAGCTCCTAGAAGAAAACAGGGGTGGTAAGCTCCTTGACATCAGTGTTGGTGATGATTTTTTGGAGGCAAGAAAGGCAAAAATAAACAAGTGGAAAAACATCAAACTAAAAAGCTTCTGTTTACAAAGGAAATCATCAACAAAATAAAAAGGCAACCTACTGAATGGGAGAAGATATTTGTAAATCATATATCTGATAAGGGGTTAATATGTAAAATACATAAAGAACCCATACAACTTGATAGCAAAAACCCAACAATCCAATTTAAAATGGGCAGAGGATCTGAACAGACATTTTTCCCAAAAAAGATATACAAGATGGCCAACAGATATATGAAAAGATGCTCAACATCACTCATCATCAGGGAAATGCAAATCAAAACCACAGTGAGATATTACCTCACACCTCTTAGGAACGGCTATGATCAAAAAGACAAGAATTAACAAGTGCTGGTAAGGATGTGGAGAAAAGAGAACCCTTGTACAATGTTGGTGGAAATGTAAACTGATGCAGCCACTATGGAAAACAGTATAGAGTTTCCTCAAAAACTTAAAATTAGAACTACCATATGATCCAACAATTCCACTTCTGGGTATTTATCTGGAAAAAAACCCCACAACAAAAACACTAACTCAAAAAGATAACATGCACCCCCATTGTTCACTGCATTATTTACAAAAACCAAGACATGGAAACAACCTAAATGTCCACTGATGATGAATGGATAAAAAATAATGTGGTGTATATGCATGAATCTTGGTGAACAATCAGCTCAGCTCTATGCGAGTACAGAAACGAGAAGTAAAATGCCCAAGACAAGCTGGATTGAGAAAAAGACAACAGCAGATCACAAAGTTAACACCCAGTTTAGGTAGGGGTGTATGGAAATGCACATGCTCATGATATAAGACCATAATTATGTAACTTTTCTGGAGATAAGCTCTGTATCTGGAGAGTAGTGTATGGAACCTTAAAATGCCTGTGACCTGAAATTTCACTTCTAAGAATTTAACCTAAGGAAATAATTAAGGACGTGAACAATATTTATCTACAAGAATGTTTATTAGAGAACAATACATAATAAAAGGAAGAGGGAAATCATCCAGATAGCCAACAACAGAAAACTGGCTAAATTATGCTTTGTCTGGATGATGGAATATTACACAACCAAAAAATGACTGTAAAATCATGTTAGAGAAGTTGGGAAATACACATGTTATATTAAAGTCCAGGTTGAAACCAGTAGTTAGAAACCAGATACAAAGCAAAATGACAGGCAAGTCACCAAACCAAAATGTTAACAGTTGTTGTATTGGGGTAGTAGTGATATTCTTTTTGCTTATTTGAAATAAACATGCCCTATTCTTGTAACCAGAAAATAAAAGTTTAAAAATGAAGTTGTTTTAAAAAGTGTGAAAATTAATCATGGGAAACCCCACTAAAATGAAGTTGGGAGGTTTCTGCAGGGGGAGCTCTCAAGCTCTACCACTCAGAGTCACTTGCGGACCCAACAGGAAGAGAGGGACTTGACCTTGCAAATGGATACTACTTTACTTTGCCAGCTTCAGGAAGAAACACTTTCCTTCTCCCTCTGGCAACAGCTCAGCCAATGAGAAGGCACTATACTTCCAACTCCCTGTTGATTCCAATGGGTTTTTCCTTTGTAGCAGCCTTCCTGACTTACCCCCTTTCTCCATAAAAAGCCTACCTCTCCTTTTGTTCTCCAGACTCACCCCTGGTTTTGCCACAGCTTGTCTGTCCCAGATTGCAATTCTCTTTCATCCCCGAATAAACTCGTTTCTGCTGGTAAAATAACTGGCAGTTTTTATTTTTAATGTTAAAAAAAGAAAGAGAAGAGCTTTACTGTGGGAAAGTAAAATATGGAAAATTAGCAGTAGTTGGCTCCCTTTAGCAAATCAACTCTGAAGAAACAGAGAATCTAGGAACTTTTACAAAATGAAAATCTCGAGGAACACCGGAAGAAGAGTGCTTCTGAACGGGTGTGCGGGAGGATGTTTGTAGCCTGGGGTTGAAGACAGCTGGCAGAGAAAGTAAGCAGTTCAAGGAAAATAAGACAGTTCAAGCGCGATTCTTGCCCTCACCCACTGATGCCTCAGAACAATCACTGTGTGTCCCTTCACTGAAGAAATTGGTGTCGACCACCCCAGAGTACCAGCTGGGGAATCCACTGGAGGTAAACTCAGGGAATCTGCCAGGACCTTTCTGGAAGAGGAGTTGAGGCCTTAGGCATTCATTCCTCCATCTACCCCCTCCAAAGCCCCAGAACTGGTGGATTAAAATCAAGGGTAATTGCCTCCTTCCAAATCTGCTTCTTGCTGAGGGTTTGAAGGTGAAGACCTGCAGGGTTGCCATATTACAGAATGGTAGGAGGTGCTATTCTCATCATCATCTAAATGAATACTCACTCCCGGAGTTGTGCAGTATACGACTCCATGCAGTCACACATAGCAAGGCCAGTTGTTCGGTGGGGAGAGTACAAACATGAGTGGGTAACTGTGATATTCTCAGTTCTTTAGCCCCACAGGCCTATCAGAGATG